TCACCCAAGATGGCAGCTCCAGGAGCAGCTGAGCGTCTTGAATTAGAATGGATTTCTTGCTTCTGCTACAAATTCCCTTAACTGTAAGTCTTCCAACCTTCTAAATATTCCTTTATATGTGGTTCAGAGTTCTGGCACCATCCCCTGAGCCTGCTTGGTCCTGTATTCTGTGTTGTTGCTGACGGAGCTCTTCATTGCACTTCCACCTTCTCTGCCATCTTGTTTGTTCTCTCAGTACATCTTGATTGCATGTTTGATCATTTTCAGACTGAAATCACTGACTGTAGTGATTGGTACTGGTCTTTTTGTAGTTGTATGGATTTTATCCTTTCACAGCAGTGTTGTACTTCATGACAGATATTGAAAGATTATTTTTGATGGTGAATATGATGTCATTCCTTTTCAATTTGTCTTTCCCAGCATAGTAAACTGTGATTGTCAGATTTAAAATGGCCAGTGTCAGTCCATTTCAGCTCACTAATGCCTAGGATATCGATGTTTATGCTTTACATTCCATTTTTGACAATTTCCAATTTTCCTAGTTTCATGCTTTGTACCTTCCATATTCTGATTATTAATGGATGTTTACAGCAGTTTCTCTTCATTTTGAGCCATGATTAGACTAGATTGGATTGTTTTGTGCTGAATTCATTCATTTATACTTTGTTGGATTTTTCCTTTTAGGGAACAGATTTGATAGCCTTTTGGTCTTTGTTTGACCTTTCTACATTGTTTCAATTTGTCACACATAAAGAATAATACATGTAACATATATGTATAGTAGTGTAAACCAGGGGCTGGTATTGCCTATGGGCCAAATTTGGCCTGCTACCTGTTGAAAGTTTTATTGGTGCCCAGCCACACTGTTTCCGTATTGTCTGTGACTCCACTCCTTTTGTGCTACAGTAGTAGAGCTGAGTAGCTGCTACAGAAATGGTATGATCTGTAAAGCCTGAAGTATTTACTATCTGGCCTCTCATAGAAGAAGTTTGCACAATGAATGAATACCCATGTACACACTGCACAGCTAAGATATTATTATATTTTATATATATATATATCATCGTCATCGTTAAGTGCTGTTGAGTCGAGTCGAGTCGATGCCGACCCATAGCGACACTGTATAGGGTTTCCGAGGAGCAGCTGGTGAGCTTGAACCACCGACCTTGCAGTTAACGACTTTGCAGTCTGGCGCATTAACCCACAGCGCCACACCAGGACTCTCTGTCTCTCTCTCTATATATAATCAATAGCAGTGAAGCACCTCTTGGGTACCCATCATCGTTATGTCCCTCATCTCTCCCATTGGAGATGCCTCACTGGATTTTTCCAATCCAATGAGACACCAGACATCCTAGAGGAAGACAGAGGAAGCTAGCAGTCATGCTTCCTAACTTTCCCCTTCGAGGTAGCCAGTTTTATTAGCTTGCTCATTCTTTCATACTCTATCCCTGTTCATGTAAAACATATGCTAACATTTATTTGCCCTAAATCACATAGCAAATTATAATTTTGTCATGCCACTCTTGTTAAAGGAGCCCTGCTGGTGTAGTGGGTTATGAGTTGGACTGCTAACCACATAGTAAGCAGTTCAAAACTGCTGTCTGCTCCATGGGAGAGAGATTAAGCTTTCTGATCCTGTAAAGATTTACAGCTTTAGAAACCTTACCAGGGTCGTTCTGACTTGGAACTGACTTCATGGTGCACAGGCACCACTATTTTTGTTGTTAGGTGCTGTCAAGTTGAGTTTTGACGTACAGTGATCTTGTGTGATAGGGTAGAACTGCCTCCATAGAGTTTCCTAGTCTATAACCTATAGAATTGGTGTGGTGCTGTAGGATAAGCGCTGGACTGAAGGTCAGTTTGAACCACCCACCGGCCACTCCTCAGAAACCCTATACTGGGTCTCAACCAACTGAATGGCATTTAAGCAACGATAACACAACCAGCAACATTAACAACCAGTAGAGGGTCGCTGTGATTTGGAACCGACTTGATGGCACTTGAGAGTAACAAAATCTTTTGCAAATGTTTTCCTGCAGAGCCTCAAGGTAAGTTGTAAGTACCAGTCTTTTAGTAGCTGAGCACTTAACTCTTGTACCACGAGGACTTCTTATTCTACTACTGGTTTTGTTGGTTGCTGTCGAGTCACTTCTGACTCATAGGCACACCATGCTCTGCACCATCCTCAGGATTGTTGCTGTGGTTGAGCCCTTGGTTGCAGCCACTATGTCCATCCATCTTGTCCATTATCTTCCTCTTTTTTGCTAACCCTCTACTTAATTAAGTGTGATGTCCTTGTCCAGAGACTGGTCTCTCCTGGTTCCATGTCCAGAGAGCACAAGATAAGAGGCAGTCTTCCATACTCTCTTTTAAGGAACGTTCTGCTATACTTTTTTCCAAGATAGATTTGTTTATTCTCTGGTGGTCCATGCTACCCCTTTTTAAGCATTTACTATATGTCAGGAGGAGTCTGGTGTGGCACTGTAGAATAAGCACTGGACAGCAAGGTCAGTTTGAACTGCAAGTTCAGAGGTTCAAACCCACTAGCCACTCCTCAGAAACTCTATACAGAATCCCTGAGAGTCAGAACCAATTCGAAGGCACTTATCAACAAAACAACAATAGTATATGTCAGGCATGTGGCAAGCACTTTGCATGCATTTTATATTTTTTTCTTGAAATAACCCTGTGAAGTGTTATCTCAGTGTTGTAATTGAGGAAGCTCAGTTAACAAGTGGCCAGAATTTAAATCCAACCTGGTCAGTAAAAATGTTTCACATCAATATGGTACTTTTCACCTCCCAGAAAATTGCCATGGATGATTTTCACAGTCAGAATGTAGGTCAGGCAGGGATTTTTCTCCACATTTAACAAAGAAGCTTGGAGAAGTATTGTGTCCAAGAATTTTGGCCATTAACTGGCGATGGGAACGTGAACCCAGACCTTTTTGACTTTCTGCTCCCTGTACATATATAATGGGAGCAGTTTTTTGTTATCTTACAATCCCAGGTCTAGAATGTGGCTTTCTTCACAGGAATGCTGTGTGGCTTATGTAAATTGGGGCCAGTAGAGGGCAGGACACACTGCTCTTCAGACTACAAGGTTGGCAGTTCAAACCTACCAGCTGCTCCTCGGAAACCCTATACAGGGTTGCTATGAGTCAGAACCAACTCAACGACATGTAACAACAAGAGAGGGCAGGAATCTTTACATGTTTCCACCCTTAGAAACGGAAAGATTTTCTGACCCCTTATCAGTCTTCCCTTTCCCTATCAGGAAGGTAGAGAAAAGGCTGCACATTAACTGGTTTGTTCGGTGCCATTTAGTTGATTTCAATTCATTGAGGCCCATCCGACAGAGTAGAATTGCCCCATGGTGTTTTCTAGGCTGTAATCTTGTCCAAAGATTGTTCCTCTGGAACAAGCAATTTGTTGTGAAGTGCCGTCGAGTCGGTTTCGACCCATAGTGTTCCCAAGGAGTGATGGGTGAGCTTGAAGCACCAACTGTGTAGTTCAAATGGCTTTGCAGTCTGGCACATTAACCCACAGCACCACACTAGGACTCCATGGAACAAGCAACTAGGTGGGTTCAACTTGCCAACCTTTTGAGTTGCTGCTGGGCGTAGGCACGGCACAAGTCATGTTCTGTAATTTCTGCAGGCACCACAATTTGGATGCCTGTTCTCCTCTAATAATTCTAATTAAAAAAAAATTGTTACATGTATATATGTAATGGAGTCCTGGTGTAGCACTGTAGGATGAACACTGAACCTAAGGGTCAGTTTGAACTGCAGTGTAGGCAGTTCAAGCTTACCAGCCTGTCCTTGGAAACCCTATACAGGCTTGCTATGAGTTGGAAACAACTTGACAGAACTTAACAGCAACAGCGTATATGTAATGGAGTCCGATGTGGTGCTGTAGGATAAGCACTGGACAACAAGGTTGTTTTGAACCACACAGTTGGCGGTTCAAACTCATCAGCCGCTCCTTGGAAACCCTATACAGGGTCTCTATGAGTTGAAACCAACTCGATGACACTCAGCATAACATAACATATATGTAACAAAAATATGCCATTTTAACATTTTTTACATGTGCAATTCAGTGACATTATTTTCATCATATTGTGTAGCCACCACCATTATTCTTAACCAAAATTCTCTCCATCCTTAACAGAAGTTCAGTGCCCTACAAAGCAAGGATTCTTGGTAACCAATTTGCCTATTTTGGATACTTCTTTCTTTTTTAAAAAGTTTTTATTGTGAATTGAGTGATAGGTTAATATAGTTTACATGGGAGAACATTGGCTTTACACTCATTATTTCATTGCAGTGATTATAATCCCCTCTGTGCATCATCATTCAACAGTATTTGCTTCTATTCCCTCTGTTTTTTTGGTTTTTTTGGATGCACACAAAAACACTCAGGAATATATAATAATTTAAACAAACAAGGGCACATTCTGCAAGACTACCTCCTGGCCTCCAGCATACAGCCTTTCTCTTTCCATGAGTCTAGAGTCCTCAACTGCTCTGTTCCTCCATGTCATCATCTCTGCTTCCATCTCTGAATAGGGTACCACATTCTGCTCGTGCACTTTTCCCTTGATGGTCCTAGGGTCCTCTGTTTCTGTCTTAAAAGATTAACTACTCCCCCCTTTATGATAATAAAACTTCTACCTTTACAGTTGTGACAATCACAATTAGTCATGATAACAGTTATTCACACATAGTCTGCCATATGTTCTTACTAGACAAGGCCCTTTAATTCAGACAAAATGAGAACTTGGGTCTCTCATACTCTCAAATGCAGAGTTGTGTCTGTTATTCCAGGTGATAGAACTTTAGGAAAAAGTACAAAACAACCATATAAAAGTGTCTGGTTAGTGTACAGGAAGTTTTGAATATGAGAGAAAGTCTTGCATTTTATGAAGCATAGTTGATATCCTTGTTCTATTTTCTTCCTCATTTTTGTTTCCTATCTTATAACCCCATGTAGGTCAGTTCTTCTTGGGTCTCGGGGACTTGACATATCCCACATCTCACAGCGTTTGGAGAGCCTCAGTGCAGCCACCACCTTTGAGCCTCTTGAACCTGTGAAGGACACAGACATTCAGGTAAGGGCTGCCCGCCTCCAGGAATGGCTCATACCCCGACTGAAGTTCTGGCAAATTTTTACTTTTTTGATCAGCTGGTTGGTGAATTATATATATATATATATAATGTAATTTTGGGGGTAAATTTCTTCCTCAAATGAAAGAGTGGAGACTCAGCTTTGGAGTTACAGTTGAAATATAGAGCTTGGGGTTATTTTTTGAGTGCTGTGTGGAAGTGAATTTAAGAATGCAATTCTGACCTGCATACTTTAGATGATTGTAGTTATGAGAACAGATTTCTCTTCTTTGTTTGGGTTTAATCCAAAGCACAGGAACATTACTTGTATGTTTCTCTTGTTTGATTTACTAGATTGCAAATAATTTTAGTACTTGTGTTCTGCATTTCTTTTCTACATCTTGCATGTATTGTCTGACAAAGAGCTGGGGCAAAGTTAAGAGTACTATTTACTGAAGTCTACTCATTGATTTCTAGGAAGTGTTTGGCTGCATTACTGGCACCAGGAAATGGTCTAATAGGATACTCAGTCTCATTTAAGCAAAGACATACCACCAGGACAATATGTAGCTATTGTATTCTAATCAGAACCTGATATATAGGAAGGCAAAATTGTTAGAGACAAATTTGTGATTCACTTTCAGTTTTAAGAACTTGGCATTTGCATTAAAATGAAAGGTACAGTGGGGCACCGTTTTATTATTGGTTTACCTTTGAAATGAAAGGACACAAAGTCCTACAAAGGCAACTCCTAGTAGAAATGGGAAATAATTGTGTTATTTGAGCTCAATTTGAATGAATACTCTGTCCTTCCGAAGAATTCTTTGTCCATCTAACCGTTGCTGCAGTCCTACATTTATTCTAACTTAGCAACGTAAGGCCCTATGTTTGAATAATTATTGTGGTTGTTAAGTGCCGCTGTCGAGTTGGTTCTGACCCATAGTGACCCTGTATGGGGGTTCTGAGGAGCAGCTGGTGAGCTTGAACCACCGACTTTGCAGTCTGGCGTGTTAACCCACAGTGCCACACCAGGATAGATGCTCTGTATTAATCATGTCAGTGATGTATCCCCAAAGTATAGAAATCCAGGGTTTCCTTTTTTCTAGTTTTCTGCATTAAATCAAATTTGCCTGTCAGTTCATAGATGACTTTTCGTATCCATGTAATCTTAAAATTGCATGCGTACTTCTTTTTTGGTTTACCCTTCCTATTTCAATTGGTGAGGCTCTGTAGAATAAGCCTGGACTGCATGGTCAGTTTGAACTGCAAGGTCAGCGTTTCAAACCCACTGACTGCTTTTGGGATACCCTATAAGGATCGCTATGAGTAGGAACCAAGTCGATGGCACTTAACAACAACAACAGTTTCGATTTATTGATGCTTTATAAGCAAATACTTAAAGCAGGGATGAGATGAGTTGAATAGGACATAGCTAAAATCATTTGAATAATCAGCATATATTTTGGGTAGCATCCCTAATAGTGTGGAACGAAATGACATTTGCTGAAAAATTATTTGTTTCAATGTCTTTAGTGTTGAAAAACACCAAACCAGCTGTTTATTTTACAGACTTAGCTCCTTTTTGCAGTTGTCTTTGGAAAACCCAGCAATGTTTAGTGATGTATTTTATGCATTTCCACTGATGTGCCCCAGTTTTACTTTGCGATATTAATGACAGGCTTATAAATGTATTGAGTCATAACAATCATCTATTCTAACCCTCTACTTAATGCCTGAACACCCTGTTTCAACACCCCCATTAGATGGTTTCCTAGCACTGCTTGCTCAGTTAGATCAAAGAGAATTTCTTAATTTGGAATGCGCCTGGCTAAGAGTTTTGGTCCTGTACCGCTGGGAAATCTGAATTTTGAGACTAAGGATGCTTCCATTGCACAATTTGAACTCTTACACTTTTCAAATTAGCTTAAAAAATATATAAAATGCAGCATCACTTTTGATTAGTTGGGAATTGATTATTTAGACTTGAAGTGAAAGTGTAGGGGCTTACTTGTTGTTGTTGTTGTTGTGAAGTGCCATCGAGTCGGTTCCGACCCATAGCGACCCTGTACAGGGTTTCCAAGGGGCTTACTAGTTTTGAAATATTCCTCTGTGGTGTTTTATCTTCTTCTTATCAAAGGTTTAAAGGAAAAAATTAAGCTATGGTCTAAAGGGCTAGGATTTTGGCTCAATCTGAGATGCCTCAAATTGGAGGGTCTAGATTTTTAAATTGTATTCAGTAACTCAATTAACCTGTGTTTAAGCTTCCTATATACATGGTTTTTATTGTTAACTGCTGTCAAGTCGGTTCTGACTTATAGCGACCCTGTATAGGGTTTCCTAGGAGCATCTGGTGGTTAGTATCATGTTATTGGCTGTCTTCTTTTTGGTTGCCAAGCATAGGAGCCAAGCTACCTAGTGCCCTTAGCCTGGCGTGATCTTCCTTTAATTCTGGCAGAGGTACTGGCGAAGCATTGATGGTTATAATCAAGAAGAATCAGCTTAGACATTTTCAGTTACTTGTATTTAGAAAAGTCAGATATAAGCATACTTCAGAGATATTGCAGGTTTGGTTCCAGGCCACTGCAATAAACTGAATATTGTAGTAAAGCCATTCACACAATTTTTCAGCTTCTCACTGCATATGTAAGTTATGTTTACTCTATTCTGTAATTTATTAAGTGGGCAATAGTATTTTGAGAAAGTTTGAGATATTGGGAGAATTACTAAAATGTGACAGTGACACACAGTGAACACCTGCTGTTGGAAAAATGCTGAAGATAGACTTGTTTGACAGGTTTGCCACAAACTTTCACTTTGTAAAAAAACAGGAAATATCTGCGAAATGCAATAAAGCGAAGCACAATAAAGCCAGATATACCTGCACACACTATCTGATCAATTTTTTAAAATGTATTTTAACAACTTTGTTGTTATTGTTAGGTGCTGGCAAGTTGGTTCCAACTCATAGTGACCTTATGCATAACAGAATGAAATTGTCTAGTCCTGTGCCATCCTCACAATTGTTGTTATGTTTGAACCTGTTGCTGCTGCCACTGTGTCAGTCCATTTCTTTGTCACTGACCGTCCACTTTACTAAGCATGGTGTCCTTCTCCAGGGACTGGAGAGAGGTCTTTTACAGCAGATTTGCCTAATGCAACACATCGTTTGATTTATAAAGGCATAATTCACATATTATACATCTGATGGACTTAAAAACATTTTTATTGAGGCAAAATAAACTAACGAACTTTGCAATGTTAACTCTTTAAATGTATAACTCAAGTAACATTAATTGAATTCGCAAATTATACAACCATCATAACTATCCATTTCTAGAAGTTTTTCTAGAAAAACTACATCACTACAATGGAAATTTGGTACCTCTGCAGCAATAACTTCTCATTCTCTCCTCTTCCCAGCCCCTAGTAACCATTAATAAACTTTTATCTTTTTTCATATAAGTGAGTTTGTGCAGTATTTGTCCTTTCATCTAAATTAGTTTATACAATAGTTATCCTTTTATGTCTTATTTCATTCAGCATAATGTTCAACTCCTGGTGTGGTGCTGGAGGATAACTACTGAACTGTGAACCACAAGGTCAGCAGTTCAAACTCACCATGCTGCTCCTCAGAAACCCTATGCAGGGTTGCTATGAGTCAGAACTCCCTTGACAGCACTGAACAGCAACAATGTAGTCAAAGTTTATCTATGTTGCATGTATGGGATCTTTATTCCTCTTGTTTGTTGCTATGTGCCATGGAGTGGGTTCCTCTTAGGCTGACTAATATTCCAATGTGTGTGCCTTTCACACTTTGCTTATCTGATCATCTGATGATGAACACTTAAGTTGTTTCCACCTTTTGTAAAGAATGTTACAGTGGAATTGATGTGCAATTGGTTGTTCCAGTTCCTGCTTTCAGTTCTTTTGGGTATGTACTTAGGAGTGGAGTCCTGGTGTGGTGCTGTAGGATAAGCATTGGGCTGCTAACCGCGTGGTTGATTCAAACCCAGCAGCTGTTGCTTGGAAACCCTATACAGGGTTGCTATGAGTAGAACCGACTCGACAGCACGTAACAACAAGAATCACCACCTAGGAGTGGAATTGCTGAGTTAATATTGTTATTGTGGTGTGGCACTGTAGGATGAGCGTTCAACCATAAGGTTGGTTTGAACCGCAAGATCGGCGATTCAGACTCACCACCACTCCTCAGAAATCCTTTACAGGGTCGCTATGAGTCAGAAATGACTCACTGGCACTTAACAACAACAAAGTAATTTTTTTTGTTTAACTTTTTAAACATAGAATTTTTAGAGAAGCTGGGTTATATGAAGAAAAAAGTGGCATCAGGATTGGAGGAAGACTCATTTAACAACCTCTGATATGCAGGTGATATAATCTTGTTTGCTGAAAGTGAAAAGGATTTAAAATTCTTACGGATGAAGATCAAAGACCACAGCCTTCAGTTTGGATTGCATCTCAATGTAAAGAAAACAAAAATCCTCACCACTGGCCCAATCTATCAATGTAGAAAAGATTAAAATTGTCAAGGACCTCATTCTTCTTGGATCAACCATCAACACTCATGGAAGCAGCAGTTAAGAAATCAAACTACATATTGCCTTAGGCAAATCTACTGCCGAAGACCTTTTTAAAGTGTTGAAGAGCAAAGATGTCAGCTTGAGGACTAAGGTGTGCCAGACTCAAGCCATGCATGGTATTTTTAATAACCTCATATGCATGAGAAAGCTGGACAGTGAATAAGGAAGACCCTAGAAGAATTGATGCATTTGAGTTATGGTGTTGGAGGAGAATATTGAAAGTACCATGGGCTGCCAAAAGAACCAACAGATCTGTGTTGGAAGAAGTACAGCCAGAATGCTCTTTGGAGACCAGGATGGTCAAACTTCATCTCTCATATTTTGGACATATTGTCAGGAGGGACCAGTTGCTGGAGAAGAATATCATGTTTCATAAGGTGGAGAGACAGTGAAAAAAAGGCAGA